TCATATGGTGAAAAACTGACTTTGAAAAATAAATTTGTTCCTTTTTATCTTATAAAAGGATAAATAAAACAAAAATATTGGTGGTAATTTTTGACTGTGTAACTTTACGAACCGCATCCCATATATTGCGTTACTTTGCAATACCTTTTGAGTTCCCTCGCAAAAGTAGTTTATCACTGTTGTGCCTGCCGGTTTATTAACAAATTCACATGTTCACCATTAGCGAGTTAGCCTACTGCTTTAATTTGGCTTCAGAATGAATATATCACACAACCACACATGGAAGTATGTCATATGTTGATATTTGAACACAGTGCAGCCACGCAACATCAAAATCAATTTCACTAACTGTGGYGACACATCCTGTTATGGTAACTGGATATTTCAAAAATAAAAGTCTGATTTAATTCAGTTCATATACAAAACATACTTTTGCGTGGGAACGCAATACAGTTTTGCGAGGTAACGCAAAGATATTGCGAAGTAACACAATAGTATTGCATGGGAATGCAAAAGAAAAAAAAATTCCCCCATGTCCCCTCGTGGGCTCCGTAATTTATCCTAAAACAACTTAATGTAATTTCAGTTAACCTAACATAATTTAGCATAAGTTTAGTTAACTTAATGGAACTTAGAGTACCTTAATATAATGGGAACTTAAATTTAACTAAACATAACTTAAGTAAATACAAACCTGGAGGATAGAATCATCATATTAACACATTTAACTTTAGATTTGTGCTCAAATAATTCAAAAACAGCATTATMATTTTAACTTCACCTAACGTCACACACAAACAGAACATTTTGAATTCCTCATTTCTTACTTTGTCSTGAATATTAAAGAAGAAAGATGAAGGGTTTATTTAAAATGTGTTTTAAGATTAAACAAATGTCTGTCTGTGGAATAAGGGTTCAGTTATCTGTTCAGTCAAATGAGAAAAAATGTCTTCTTTTAGTAAAAGACGTGGAGTTCTGGAGCCGACCTGAAGCCATCAGACAGCTAAAAGAAAGGAGTGTGATCAGAAACAGGCCGATGACCTGTGACCTTTCTGGTAATCTGACTCCTGGTTAAGAAAGAAGAAAGCAGCCGTTCATATCAAACAGAGGAAGTTCTGTCCCAACAATCACAGAGAGAGGCACGCTTGAAGAGAAGAAGTGTTGGTCTGATGTCTGCTCGTTGTTATTTCAGCTGCTTCACTTTTTCATGGTGGCTTTTGTCAGTGCTTTTAGCTGGGTAGTTACCAGCAGTCCTGTTTTCTGGGGTTTTGTTTGGGTCAGTTCTTATGTGGGGTTAGGAGAGTGGCCGGAAACMTGGCGGTCAACAGCTAACTTTTGTTTATTTTCTCCTGGGGGCTCACAACTACCTTTTCATTTCAGACGAATGTGTTTATTAAAATATATATTTAAAACATCACGATCATCTGGATATGTTGTGTTTCCTGTAAGTCACTACACGTGATGAAACAGCTACAATAAAAACGTATAAAAAAGCTGTCTAAAATTTGTCCTTTCTTTAATTCTTTATTCTGCAACTAAAGAAAAGACTGAAAAAAATGAAAATTCATTTAGTTTAGAAATAAT